GGTCGTGAAATTTACTCTTTCAGTATTGGTTTAGGAAAATGGAGTATTTAGCGGTTACTTTGGAAAATAGTTTAATAGATTTAGTCGGAAAAGGTTCGTGTTTGAGAAGGCAGAGATCACATGGTTTGTCTCCAAACCTCATATCCAACGGCCACAAATCAAACCCACCAAAAATCAAGAAACACTACGATGAGCTTGCCTAATATCCCAACTCTTTCCTCTATCTTTGCCGGCCTTTAATTAGTGTTAATGTGTTGTTGGTTGAATTATAGTAATAGTGCACCCCCACCCTCATCTTCATGTGACCGACCACGAACATGATCGACCCCCCTTTGCTCTTTCCATGTCGTCTTTATGTGTGTATGTATATATAACCAGTATCCACTTGTAATTAAAAACATGTAACTCATCTTTCTCTTGTTTCTCTGAAAACCCTAAAAAGAACATAGACATGGGATCTCAAGGACTAGGGCTAGAGATTACTGAACTTAGGCTAGGACTACCAGGTGGTGGCAGCGGCGGTGAAAAGAAGAGGTCATTTTCGGGTAGTATTCATGGTGGTGGTGGTGGCGGTGGTGATGGTGGTTGTGGGAAGAATAGGAATATGGACGAGGTGGTTGGGTGGCCACCGGTGTGTGTGTTTAGGAAGAAAAGCATACGTGAAGTGACAAAGTTGTACGTGAAAGTAAGAATGGATGGTGCACCCATTCTTCGAAAGATTGATTTGAGTTGTTTCAAGTGCTATTCGGATCTAGGAACGGCTCTTGAGAAGCTCTTTGATTGTTATGGCATTGGTACACTTTTTCACACGTTTATAAATTTCCTTATTTATTAGCTAAAACATCAATATTGATTATTCTTTTCATATTTCTTCTTTCATAATAATAATCATAGAAAAGCGTTCGTTCATGTAATACTTATAATACCACGTGTGTTTTCATTCGATACACTACAAAAAATAATTTACTAGAGAATTTTTTGCACTTCCGAAATATATTGTTAGATTAGCAATTAATTATTAAGAACAAAAAGTTAAAATATATAACTGTATTTAATTAAATTTCATAAACATTATGCAAAACTAACTAAATTTAGTTTAATTAGTAATCTAATATAATGTCTTTTCTCTTAATTAAATTAGAAAGAAAAAAAAAGGTTTATTGTGCATTGCATCCAAAAGAATTTAATTATTTCTTGTATATTACATCGCTCATCTTTAAAATGAATGAAGAATCAAACAGTCTGCATGCTAAAATACAAAACTGATATTGTTTTTTTAATTATAATAAATAACTTATTCAAAGAAAAGAAATCTAAAACTCGTAGGTGAAGCAATGAAGGAAGAAAGCGAGAGTTGTGAATACGTAGCAATATATGAAGACAAAGATGGAGACTGGATGCTTGTGGGAGACGTCCCATGGTCGTAAGTTCACTTTCCAAACTTTATTTTATTCTCTTTAAATTAATCATTGTTTTTTGTCGTCAAATAGACTCCTTGAAAAACTTCAATAATTGGTCTACTAAATAGCTCTCAAACATTTTTAAAAGTGTGCAAAATGAGAATGAACAGCTGAGAGTTTATAGGCATGTGTCAAGATGAATTTTAATTATGTAGAGCAAAAAACTATGCGCTAGCTATAATAATAATCTTTTTTAAATAAAATTTTTTAAAATTAAATCAATACACTATTCGACATTTAATTGGTTTTACCCGTTTTTATTTGACCTAAAAAATTATTCCACCCATTTATATATTAAGAAACTAGATGTGAGACACGTGTATTACACAGGTTTATTAAAAATAAAAGTTTATATCAATGTATAAATATTAAATATATTTTTTTTAAATACTTTTACATAAATGCGAACGATATAATGAATTTATATATATTAATAAAAAACTATTGACATATTTTAAATAATGATATTGAAAATTAAGCTGTAAACATTAAATATTTTTTAACTTAACTTTCGAAATAAATACAAACGAAATGATAAATCAGTAGTTGTTGAATCTATACTAATAAAAAAATTATTGACATTATGAATCAAAATTTTCAAATACTTCTTTGAAGATGACGTTCTTTTTCATTTATTAGGGTAGAGATAGAGATGTATTATACACATATTTATTTATAAAATTTGAATAAATAATAAATTTTTAGAATTCAAATTAAAAGTCCAAAAATTTAAAGGTATGTTTTGAATTCAAATATATCATCAAATACACGACATTAATTGTTTCATTAGAACATCCATTTGAATTCAAATATATTTATAAATTAATAAACATTTAAATAGAATGAATATTTTATATATATAATAGTAGACTTATTAATTAGTGGAATTAATTATTAATTATTGATTAATAAAAAAATAAAGATACTACATAATGATATATGAAATTTAAATAATTGTAAAATCTCATATAATGACATGTGGTAAAAGCTTTGATAAAGTGACAAGTAGCAAAAAAAAACTTTCATTTATTAAAGAAGAATTTAATTAAAATTAGACCATGATTAGCATCCTCTTAGATAAAGCTTTGATATGTGGCTATGAATTGTTAGTAAACATGCACATGCAACTAGCTTTATTAGCATCTACTCTTAGATCTATTTAAAAAGTGCTTCTTTTGAGTTGTTGAGCATAATGCAATATCATTTTTAGAAGGGTTTGATTCCAGATTTGTTTTTAACAGTAATCGTTTTTATAACATAAAGAAATATTATTGTCAAACCTAGTGTGAAGTTAATTTACTACGATTTTTTTTTTTTGTACGAACGATAGTGGCTTTAATGTCAATTTAAGCATGTCCTTTTTTATTGGTGTTAAATTCTTTAAGAGATATGCTCGTTGCCGACAAAGGAGAACTCTCGATGAAAATGTTGATGAAATGACAAATTTGTCCATACGTTGGATGTACTCGAATACCCATCTCACATATAGATTTTTTTTTCTTTCATTGTAACTTTCAAGAAACTGGTAAATCGAATGACAAGTTATACATAAAAGAACTATAAATTTAATTAACTTTTATATTCAAAAAAAGTGATTTTAGGTCATTATTTGGGAGTATATATAATAAGTTATAATCAAATAAAAACCCGATTACCAAATAATTACTAGTTATCAATATGTTCGTTTATATTTTGGATCATGAACCCTTTCTTGATATTA